TTTACGTGCGTGTTCTCGTCCGTCAATGAAGGGTAGGCAACGCATCTGCAATTGCGAATGTTTATGGGCAGCGGTCGCTTTCCATTTCGGTGGATTCAGGTGACCGCTTGCTCGTTTGCCACCTTATATTATATACAAAAAAAACATGCGAGCTGTTCAACAGCTTGTTATTATGTGCAGTGCAACTTGCGCGGCAAGCTGATCTCTGTGTTCTCGTCGTCGCGGTACTGCGGCGGCGACAACGACTCGGGCGTGGTGCTGCTGCAGGCGGGCAAGCTGCGCCTCATCAGACTCAGCGACTAACCTCTACTCGTTCTTTACGCATTACTTACATTTAAGTGGGGATTGGAAATTAAGGTAGACTTTCATTGTATATTATGTACGAGAAAATCTACAATAAAGAAATTTAGACGACTATTGAAGAACTGTAGGCAGTGGAAATATAAGAGTGTAATTGTAAAATGGATTACTAATGTTGTAATGTGAGCGTATTATTTCTGAAATTTTGGTCTCTATCAGTATTGAATTGTGTTGTGAGTCATATTGTTAAATTGTTTCAGTTAAAATGATACAAAACAAATATTTTGTAAGTATTAAAGTTTATTGTAACAAAAAATTATTTACAAAACATGACAATTATTATTTTTCATTTCTAAAATCAACGGTCATTGTATGGAATTACGGCGACAGTGGATTTTGTCATAAACTTACAAAACACAAGGAAATAAATACAAACGACATGTGGAAAGAGATTTAGTGAAAATATTTATAATTTATTTAAATTAATTGCTAGAGAATTACATACCACTTAATATTTAAGTTTCATACACTTTTACCACAATTGTTTAACTTAATAACTTGAAATGCAAAGTTGGCTACCAGCAGCTTCTGTACAACAGTTATTAATTTCCTATTCAAATGAAAGAAATTCATGGAAATCCAAAGGATGAAATGTTAGAACTTATATTGTAAAAAGCGAAATTAAAATACTTTTTTATATAAAAATGCTGTTTATATGCACAACTTTTGGACAAATTTAGTCAATTACCAAGAAAATGTAATTCAGAAAAGGAAACAAATACAAGAGATAACCTTTTGGAAAGTCTGTTAACAATCACTAATGCATGCATGCCATAACAATTTTAAGTAACCCTTTTCATTGAAAATTGATAACTACAATATTTAGATCTCACAGTTGTCACTAATTATTGATTAACATTAGTTCTGTCAAATTGTCAAAACTTTATCAACCTAAAGACAAATGGGTTCATAATTATGCAGTCAAAAGTTATAATTATTTATTTTACATTCTTGTTTGTAATTTATACTTCATACAGTTCATTGAAGATAATCTAAACAAAATTATTATTTTTTAAATCAACCAAAGTTACTAAACACAATACCTTTGTGAATACACCTTTATAGATATGAAAATTAAGTTTATTTTATTTTCAGATAAACTAAATTATGTAACATTATGTATTCATGGACAAAGATGTATTTTCAACATTGTTAATCTTGAATAATACAAAGTTGGAAAAAAAATATGCTTTGACAATATTAAAACAAATTAAAGATTTATGGATTTAAGAGAAATTCTTATCATTGTATATCAGCTAAATTTAAAGGGCTTTTGATTTAAAAAGCCAACTGAAGGACAATATTCCTATAAACCTAACTACTATTTACAATTTTCTTAATTTAAAAAATTTGTTCATGAACAGGACATTTATTAAACACAGCCAGGAATTTTTTAAAAGAATTTAGTTATGCTTTTTCATCGCCAAAAAATAATTTTCTGTTTAATTTTAATTACAATAAGGGAATCTGGTGGTCCATTTAAAATGCTTTTAGTATGATTTTTTTGTATGCATTGAGACATGGAAAACCAATGAAACAGCTTTAAAGTGTGTACGAAAAATGTTTAGTTAGTGAAACACAGCTTTTTATTATTACCCATCATATACACAACTTATTGCTTATTTGTTTGTGTCGTTGCAAGAACCGAGGCATTTGTTTTTGTAAGTGGAACAATGTGGAAGGGCCCTGACTGTACAGTTTCATGGTATTCAATTAAACTGCTTTGCAAGCTGCATCTATTTTTTCCAAGACAACCTACCCCATACATGGAAATTTAATTTTGGAAAGGATTTTGAACAAATTTGCATAATTTACAATGTTTATAGGAATTTTAACTATTGAAATTATAATTAGATTAATTAGCATTAAATTTATGTAATCAGAAACTATAATAAATTAACACAGTTAATAACACTATTATTAATAACAGAAATTGGTGGAAGTTATTTTTAATTACCTGTTGTCCAACAGAAACTTAATTGATATTTCTCCTGCAGAATATTTGATAGAACCAATTTTGATTGTTTAATTTTATTCTTGTTTATTTGAATAAAATTTATATTATTTTCGTAATTCTTATCAGCATACCAGTGTTAAATTTGATTGACTATGAACCATAAAGCTTTGTTTAATGTAATTTGTGTATATTAAAGAAGCATTTCTACGGGGATTGTAATTATAAATGTTTGAGATTTTATTATTCAGCAATGTTGATTTGAGTTGAAATATTCCCTGTTCACAATCACTTGCACACGCGACGCGACACGGCACGGCACGGCACAGCACAGCACGGCACAGAGTCAGAGCAGCAGACGCGCGCGCAGGATCTCGAGCGCGGCCTTGCGGCGCAGGTAGGGCATGTGCGCCTGCGCGAAGCTGAAGCGCGCGTCGCGGCTCGCGAACTCCGCGAACGTGCACGCGAACATGCCGCAGTCGCTGCCGTTCATCTGCTGCGGGATGTTCTGCGAACAAACAAACAATCCTGTTTTTACAACAAACACAAATGACAATTCAAATTGTATGTAAACTTGCCTGCCATTTAAACATCTATTCAAAACATACTAAACTTGATGAAATTTAGTATAAGTGTAAAGCCTGGAAGATCTCATTGGCTACTCACTTTTGCTTTTTTAATTCGTTGGCATGAACTTGTAAATAATAACTCTTACTTAATAATAAATGCGAAAGTTTAAATGTTTTGTTAGAGTTTATAGCCTAGACGGATCTGGGTGAAATTTGACATAGATGTAGAGCATAGTGTGGAAAAACACATAGGCTACTCATTTTTATTTTTTAATACTATGCGATTAGAGTCGCGGCCGAAAACTGAATAAAATATAAATAAAAACGAACAGATATAGATGATGAAAACAGTCCAGAAGTTCGAAAACTAAATCAATTTTAATTGTATCACTGAAAATGCACACCTTTAGGTTCTCAGTCTTCCAGCCTTTATCGTCGAAGGGCTGCCCCTTCTTGTGCTGGTGCTCGTCGCGCAGGTACTGCAGCAGCGCGTCCAGGCAGGGCTGGTTGGAGCCGCCCATGCTGTCGAGGTAGGCCACGCGGCGCGCGCGCAGGTCCACCACGCTCAGGCACCAGTGCACGCCCAGGTGCACCGGCACCAGGATTATGTCTTTCGAGAATATGTCCACCTGCACATACCACCGCGCTCACACCTCACTCTGTCTCTATTTAGATTCAAACTAAAGCAGAGACTTAAGAGATTAAAATAAATTTTAATGTGGTAACAGTCTCTATGAAATTTAACATAAATATAGGACATTTGGATGAACAAATTAGGCTATTAATCATTTTTTTTAACTACCAAAGACAGAGTCACAGGCAAAAGTCTGCTTAATAGAAATTAAATATTATATTGACATATTTCTCATGTTGGCAATGCCACTTTCTGTCTATAGATCTGTTGTGAAAAGTTTTAATGTTTAATTAGATGAAACAGGCCTATTTTTAATAAAACTGATTACAGTCTTATGAAGTTAAAATTGTTTGAATTGATTTCCTATATTGTCTCCTTTGTACTGAATTCCACTAAGGTTACCTTCTTAGTCCATCTCTGCAAGGCGGCTTGTCCCTGGCGCATCAGCTTGGGGTAGAAGAAGGTGTTGAAGTGGTGTATCTTGGGCAGGTCGGGGCGCTGCTCGCTGCGCTCGGTTATCAGCTCCATGTAGAAGTTGATCACCTCATCGTTCAGCCAGTTCAGTCCAGATAATGTTTGTAGATCTCGCCTTCAAACAATTTTATATATTTATAAACTTCATAAACAATTTTAATTAAAACTGGAGAAATATGTTGTTAGAACTCACCTACGGATACTCATACGGAATTTCTGCACGAGCACCTGGTCCAATGGCCCCGGACCTAGAGCCTTTTTGACCAGTTGCTCCTCTTCCGGACTCAATTTAGGGAACTCTGGAGTTGCGGGAACTTCCTCTATCAAACTGTCCGGTAAACTCAATTCATATTTAAACTTATTAGCTATTAGTGCTATACTTTGTTCATGGTTTACTTTGGATATGATATCGGACTCCCGACGGGCATTTTCCAATTTTTGATTCGTGTATTCTTTTCTCTTTTTATATTTATCATTTAACTTAGGTAGCCAGTCTTTGGCTGCGATGTCTTTGCCGTGTAAAGAGTCACGCAATGAATTAACAGGAGCTATTCTCGTTGAAGAGGATGTTGAACACTCGGAGGGTACAACTTCAACGTCAGAATCTGTCAGATTAAGTGAAGCCACCGTAATAGGGTCATATTCTTGTGAATCCTGACTCTCCTTGTTTACATTTAGATCTTTTTCCAATGAAATTAATTCATTCAATGACCGTTTCTGTGATTTCAAAGTGTTGCGGAATGATGCAGTTTCTTCTGCTAAATTTATTATGTCCACCGGTTTGTTAAAAGTGAAAGGTGCAGTGCCGCTCGCAACGCGCTTTATTAATTCTTGATAATTACGTTTCTCATGCAAGTTAAACACTTCAGACAGCATTGTTCTACCGTTTCCATTCAAGTTTGTGAATCTACTTCTTTTCGGGGAGAGATTGAGATTTTGTTTTTGCATCCAATTGGGTAGAGGAGTAACTTTCTTGTAAGATTTGTTGATGCCCCCATATGTTTTCAAGTTATGGCTTTTCGGTGATGTTTTTTCCTCTTTTTCTTTAAGTTTCGTAAGCCTGTAGTACTGTTTATTACTTCTGGACTCGGGTTCCTCACTATTAGCCAGGACATATTTGTATTGCTTTGCTGGTTGTGGAGATACTTCTCTGACCAGAATAACATCATCTTCTTTATCTATTTCGTCTTCCTCTAAATTAATGTATACTGTTTTTTTGTTTTCTGGTTTATTTTCAACCAGAGATACCTAAAACAAACATAATATGAATAAAATTCAACAAATAGTTTGTGAAACTGTTAAGAAGCATAAAACATAATATTTTACATGCCATCATCAGCTAAGCTAAGACCTTAGTTAACACTAGCCCACTGTGAATTAACTTCACATATCTTTGAATTTCTACATCGCTATAAGGATAAATATGAAATAGTATGTTAAAAATATTAAATACAATGTGTAGTGTTTTTAACACTTATAAAATATATGAAGTTAAATTTCTTTTATAGTTTACCTTTGGATTTTCATCATCATCATCATCATCTATCACAGCTTGCACCACCTGTCGCACAGGGCTGGCAACTTTAGGTTTCAATAAATATGTTGAACCATTTTTATTGGCATCTCCAGATATATCTGATACTAATCTGTACCGGTTTGGTGGTTTAACAGGCAATACATTAGGTGTTGAAGTACTAGGGTGACCAGTTTCTAACTGAATTGGTACATATCTAACATTCTTAGTTGGTTTAACACTCATTATGTCTGAAACATCTGTAACAAATGCAAATTGTTTATTGTTTATTTTTGTTATTTAATTTTATATTTTTCTACACTGAGTGTGATGCGCGACGCGACCGCGAAACAACCCCCGCAGGGTCTGAAACTGGTCGATGCCGTCACCGGAAAGTAGAAGACGTGAGTAATAGCCGTAAAATAATATAGTTATAAAAATGTCTCAGGAAAGTTTAAGTAATTTAAGACTGCTTTAAATGAAGGTCAAATAAATAATTGCAAATTGTTTTACCGTAATTTGGCGTGACATCTGGAAAATTTGTCTTCCTCAGTTGTCTGAACCTTTTTAATGACGGCAAATCATCATCAGACGAGGAATCCCCATCCGTCCTGCAATCCATGTAACGTTATTCTTGTGAAACATATATACATTCATAACAACAATAAAATTGTACCGACATCCAAAACTTCGAAGCAAGCCGTAACGGTACTTTGTACATGTTGTGGTTATATTTTTATCCACGTTTATCTGAAACTCAAAAGCTTTACCGCCATTTTTTAACAATTGTTAACGTTGTAAACAAGAAATGTCACATCCATACCTGTCTCGTTTCAAGTTTGTTCTCAACGATTGTTCAGTGTCGCACCAACCAAGGAGACTGCGCACGTAAGCCACAACGGACTTCATTTTTAATATTTTATTTATCCATTACCAAAATATCCTTAACATTTAGCTATTAAAAGTAATTAATGATAAGTATTACGAATAAATACAAACTAAAAACGGAAAGAAGCCGAATCGAGGAGACAGACAGCAGCGTGGCAAAGAGTAACTGTGACCACAGATAATAGAAATGTACAAGCAATCTCTGTTTATAGATTATAAATATAATTTAAACACATAAAGAAAAATCATACAAGTTTTAATAATGAAAGACTGGAAGTAAATTAGTAAAAACTAATAATTTAAAGAAAACAGCTACGTTATACTGATAGTTTATTAACGTTTTGAAATAGATTTAAATCTGCACTAGTTTTTCATTAAGGCACAGTGAAATCATGTTATACTTTAATAAAACCAAAAAAAATGTTCCAGCTGATTGTAATAAGACCCTTGATTGATAAAAAGACCTTGCCATAAATGTAAATATTAAGAACCAAACGGTCAAAGATTAAGTAAGGAAAAATTATGGATGTAATAACTACTACATACAACAAGATAGACTTCTATCTGTTCATCTTGCAGTTAAAATAAAGAAAATTAAACCTTTTGCTAAGGGCGTAAGAGTCTTGTTGTACGCAATATAAAATTGAAGCCAAGTGAGATGGCTACAAGTGTCCGCTGTGTCCCTTTCTAACAGTGATCTAGAGTTGCCAGATATAAATCCTTTCGTTGTTTGTAGAAAAATAGGCGATTGGTTTTATGTATAGAAGTAAAAGCATTTACTTTAAAAATGTTTCTAAATATTAATAATAATTTACTACCGACATGTTAAAGAAATAGTATTTGTTGCTACTTGTAGAACCTTATGAACACAAACATTTTGGAATTGGCGTGCAGGTTTTCTTTTATTTGTTTGAAATTCAGACACCTGAACTGACAACCCCACACGACATCCCAACTCGGACGTAATGGCAAAGTCTTTTTTGATTTCGTGATATTTTTGAAGAATCTTAGTTAAATGGGAAGAATTTATGTCGTGGAGGCTTGCCGAAGCGAGTATTTTGCTGATTGTGGGTCATATTTTCACAGGCAATAGTTTAAAACATAACTTGTTGGTAAAGAATTACGGTGACCATGCATGAGTATAACTATCCAATCCTAGTTTAAGAACAAATGACAACATGAACACTTATGCGTTTGTTTATATTTATACTTTTTTCTACTAAAATAACTTTGTTTAAATTTCAGATATAAGGAGTAAGCTAGGTTTGCGGCATAAACTTCACAAGACTTTTATTTAGCGGTGTCTGTTTTAGAATTATGTACGTTGTATTGTTTTTAGAAGATACATTTATGATAAGGATAATCTGTTAAAATCCATCTAAAGCAATAATAAGCTAACGTCAGACAACAAAAACAAGACATTTTATAACTATTGTCCTTAAATTATATTTCAACATAGTCACTATCGCCAGAGAGGGATAAAAGGTACAGTTGTTGGCGTCTCGCTCGGTTTCAATTTTGGGACAAGAGCTCATTGCCGCTCTAAAAGTATTTCCATGGGAAAAATTCAAGATATATCTGTAATTGTCAGACTGACAGGAATTTCCATCCGCACTTCCGTTTCCGGTATTAATTATTTTTAGTGTCATACTTATGTTATTTTTAGGATAACTTATCTGACGCTGCCTGTACAATGTTAGAACCTGTGATGCATATTCTCAAACAAAAAAATATTATACTGGCCAGTGGGTCTCCAAGGAGAAAAGAACTAATTGAAAACATTGTAAGATAACCTATAAAAATAATACTTTTTCTTAGTATGTTTTGTGCTTAGAAGAGATCTTTTGTATGAACTAGTATAAATATTTCCATCAAATTTTAGGGCCTTAAAGTCAGTTTGTGTCCATCACTTTTTGAGGAAAATTTGGACCCGAAAAGCTTTGCCACTTTTTCAGAGTTTGTTGAGGAAACGGCCTTGCAGAAAGTGCTTGAAGTTGACGATAGACTGAATAATCAGTCTCACAAACCTGATGTCGTTATTGGTGCTGATACGATGGTCACCTTAGATGGTGAAATGTTTGGTAAACCAACATCAGAGCGGGAAGCATTTCAGATGTTAAAACGGCAAGCATAATCCTTACTCTCATATTCAAATTAAATTTGGTACATAACATTATAAAGTTTTATTACTTTTTCAGACTATCTGGTAGAACACACACTGTTTACACTGGAGTTGTTGTTAAATCTTTTGACGAAATAGTTAAATTTACTGAAAAGACCAATGTTGTGTTTGGAGAAATTGATGATGAGCAGATACAAGGCTACATAGCTACAGGAGAACCTATGTATGTAGCTTACATAATCATAAATATATTCTGTTAAGTTTCAAACACATGTCATGATAGACTACAAGTTAAATATGCAATGTATCTGAAAGTGTAGATGTCTAAGGCTAGTGTTTGCTTTGCTATTTTGCTGCTATCTAATGCCGATGGCTTGCTTATACTAATAAAATAACAAATAAGTTAGAAAAATGTTGCTGTTCCAACTTCCAATGGTAGTCACCATTCCACCATTCACTATTCTCACAAAAAACTTTTCGAAGTCTTAATCATATTGTAAAATGTATTATTTTCAGGGACAAAGCAGGTGGTTACGGAATACAAGGAGTTGGAGGGACATTTGTTGAGAGAGTGGAAGGAGATTATTTCACAGTTGTAGGACTGCCGCTGTATAGATTATGTTCAGTCTTATATAATATGTTCAAACACCAAAAAAGTAACTAAAAGAGTGGTGTAAAATATCAAACTAGTCAATCATAAATATTTAAATATTCCCTGTTACTGAAATCTGTGCGACAGACAGTCCCCTATGCAGAGTGAGCATTGAAGATAAGAGAAAGAAGAAACAGCATGGCACATACAACACTGCCCTGCAGTGTCTAGCTATAGGGTTAGGTATTGACTTGATGATATTGCTTCCAAAGATCGTCAACAACATAAAAGTGTTTTTGGGTTCTTTAGTGAGCTGCTTGGAGTAATCCATGACCTGTCCACGTCAAATATGCACTAGCCGGGGATTTGCGGAAATCATAACCTCTACTAGTGAAAAGTTCTACCATTACCAAAGGAAATAATTAAAGTTTATCGTCCTATGTGCAGTTAAGATTATCATAATGAAATATTATAAACTCTGTGATGTAATGATATCCTAAAATATACTTGTTGTTGTATAGAAGTTGTAGTTTTATTTAGTGTTTTCCTCTGCTACTAAGAAACTAATCAATAAGTAAGAAAGTACAACAGACTTTTTGTTTGTTTGGGTAAAAGATATCTGCAACAAAAGGAAAGTGCACTTGCGATATAATTATCTCATGACACCTAAATTGGCACTTTTTCAACTATCAATGCAGATTTACATGACTCACGTAAATTTCCTGAGTATTGTATTTTGTCTATATGTGTCGTAGTACATGACACGCACGAGGAAGAAACATAGTGATGGTAATTGTGTCGATATCCCTGATTGTTAACATTTTAAAACTAATCTCATAATAGAATTCAAGAGTCCGATTTTCCACCTGTGCTTAACATTTATTTAAATATTAGCTTTCGCCCGCGACTCCGTCCGCATGGAATTAAACAAAAACGCAAGTCGGTAGCCTATGTGTTATTCCAGACTATCCTGTTCATTTGTGCCGAATTTTATCGAAATCCGTTAAGCCGTTTAGGCTACCAACTCGACAACCATCCATCCATCTAAACTTTTGCATTTATGATGTTAGTAAATATTTATTTTTATGAAATGCATCAAAATATGGCTACTAAAATATAATACGCAATAGAGAAAAAAGTAAATAAATGTTCGTCTCAATTGTTATTCCGTGTTTCAAAACAATTAAACGAATTCCTTGAAATTAAATAATTATTTATCATCCATTTTATATCTCTTATGACTTATAGATATTAAAAATATCGATAAAATAAATCACGTGTGGTAACGGATCATCATTAACCTCGTAGCTTTTTTCGAAATGTCTGTGAGAGCTCAGCCGCCCTGCGACTTGAGTGTTGAAAAAAAAACTATTGTGTGGTGTGGGAACGAGACTTGCCACCTGTTTTGCACCGCTATCTCCATGCTTAGCGTTTTCTAATGTGCCAATTTTAACCTTATAGAGCAAGCACCTGCAAGTACAGTAGGTGCGATGTTCCACTGATTAACATAAAATAATCTGTTTAATAATTCTGAGCAGAAGAAGCTCTAGGTAATTCTGCAAGGTTTCTCAAATGAAATTGTGCTACGAACTCAAGTCACTGAAGATTAGTGTAATATTAACGCTTTACCAAGTTTTTGATTCCAAAAATTCGTATTTTGAAATACGAGTTATTCGTAAACTCTTAACTATCTGATTAAAATGATTACAGTTTAATAATTATGAAAAATATAGTGATTATGATATTGTGGGCCAGATGCTGCAGATCCGGAGATCCGGTCGGTGGCGCATCTGCCCGGGTTCCCACACCCTCGCACAATATTTTTTCATTTAGCATAAACTTTTTCCATATGACAACACTGTTCGGAAGTAAATGTTTTTGTCTATGAACTACTGTTTTTTTGTTGGCAGTAGCTAGGCACCATTGTTAATACATTTTAATATGAGATTGAAGGTTTTTCTCTAAACTTCATTCAAGAAGAAGGATCGAGAGACTTGTATCTCTTATTTTCGTAGATGTCGTATCCTGATATGATTATAAAAGGGAAATATGGCGTCTTTTAAAACATACAAGGGCATTTGGTCGTAGACATAGACTTCTAATAATCTCGGCGACGACTTGTAGAAATAATCGTATAGTTGAGAAGTTAAGCTGTTTTACAGGTTAATTAAGTAATCAAGTAACGTAAACAAATATTGTAAATGCAAATGTTGTGGCAGTTGCACAGCTATAGTCACAGATATAGCTTTCGCGCGTCAGTCGCCAGGTCGCTGGTCGCTTCCTCGAAACATTGTTACCCCTTGCTTCCGGCGCGGCATGGCAGTGCTTCCGTCGCAGGAATAGACAATGTCAAGTTCGCGCGAACACGTGCGCGCGTAAACTTGCCGCTCAAATTAAAATAAATACCATTTTCACGGAAGAGAGGAGACATCAAGCATTACTAGTAGGTCTAAATAAAATCCTTTTACATATGTCTGTGCTATTTATGGCGAGTAATTTCAAATAACGTATTTGGTAAAACAGTTCATCATGTTTCAATCATTACTAGTTTCCTAATTAGGTCAAGATGTTTTCAAAGGTCGTCCATTAGCGTCCCACACTGCTATGTAGGCAGACCAGTTGTTGGCCCTACGTTAGAAAAGTTTTTTTTCAATGGCCCTTTACTGTTTTCCGCCCACAAGGAATTCATGGACGTGGGTTATTTAATTAACTGACTGCTTTGAAAATGAATTTTCTAATCACGCCTTATTATTATTGAAATGTTACTATCATTAGCTGCTTCGTTAGGCTTTTCAGTATATAATAAATTGTGCATTTGCCTTTTATAGATAAAATATGTACTTAAAAAGTCTAGGGAAGTAGATACAAACATAATTAGAAAACTACAAATGTTACTAGATCGCAGTCCATTCTAATCTTACTAATATTATAATGCGAAAGTTTACTTTGATTAATGTTTGTAGCCTCTACTAGGGATTTCGATTTGACATAGATGTAGAGGATAGTCTGGAAGAACATATAGTTTACTTACTCCTGTTTTTTATATTCCGACAGAGTCGCGGGCGAAAGCTAGTGTTCGTATAACATTTTAATGTCATATACATCTCTATTTTGATAAAAACTCAGTTAATGGTTTGACGATGTTTTTATAAGTACATTTACAGGTAATATGTATGGTAATTAAGCATCGTGTAGGCGCGGTGGTTTATCGACATGAAGTTACGTAAATTATAAGGCCCCGTGCTTGGCTTCTCTTGTGCTCGTGGCGGGGGCGGCGCCCACGGGTATCCCGAATTGGTAAAAGCCTCATCTCGTATGACTTTGATTGTGTCAAAATAAAACATTCAACTCAGTAATATAACAGTAATTGTAAATATTTTGATAGTTATGTTAATTGGCATTTCATTTCAAATGTTAGATTGCGTATCGTATAAGCGCATACTCTTTTATGTTTGTTGTACCTCAGATTTTGACGTCTTTAACTATTTATATAATTTTGAGTCATATGAATTAAAATATGATATTTCGTTAGCGTAATTTAAATAAATCCACTTATTTAGTATGTCACCAAACTTATACATACAAGGAATGGATCAATCGTTCGTGAAATATTTCAAAGACCGCATATAGTTATTAATATTTGTATGGTAATTTGCTAAACATTGCCTAAATGATAGAAGTGAAGGTTTAATTGTGGGGGCGAATGGAGGGCGCGATGTAGGCAGCTGTTTGAGGTCACATTTATTGTTAGATTTTCCAATTTGAAGACTTAAGTATGTCAGATGATTTAGATTTTTTTAAGTAATTCGTTTACGCCGAATATTTTATAAATGAGATATTTTGTATTCGAATGATTTAGCAAGTGGCATGTTGCCGGCACCCAGCCTCTATTGTCGGCGGAGGTCGTGACGTGGGAAACTGCAAATTACAAAAAAATTGCCTCATTTTAGCGCGCCGAAGTAGCACGATCAGTTATAACTTCAATTATTTTTTTCTTATAAAACGACAAAGGTATGCCAAAAGTGTGCCATGGGTACTGGCCGATAGGTGTTTTTTTTTAACTTAATCTTTTTGGAAACAGAAAATTTCTTAGATATAATGCACGAGAGAATTCATGTAAGCCATAGTTTAATCATTTAGTCGTAATGTGGTTCAAATAATTGCTTTTAAACTACACAACATAAATAAACTTCACCGTTACATCACCTTATATCGGTTGCAAAAATGATACAACACGAATTGACCGCTACTGGTTTTTTTGACACTTTAGTTTATTTTTTACATAGAATTTTTTATTTCACGAGCGAAAAAAATTTAACTTCAAAATGGAACTAACTGCAATTTTATTATGGCTGGTTATTTAGGTCTAGATAAAGTAAGTATTCATCGCAAAATATAGGAGAAAATTTTCTTTTATAAAAACAACGCAGTAAAATCTTATCAGTACAAGATGAAACCGATGTCCAACTTGATAACTAAGATGAGTAATTATAAATCTGCGCAAGTCTCTAAGAAACGCGATAGCTAGGGTTGACAACTTTTACTAAACGTTGACCTGAATAATAAATAAAAAACAACGCACAAAGACTTCTCAATCACAATCAGAATCACTCACAACGGGTCAAGTCATAAAAACCATATCTTCTCTTAATCTTTATTAAAACAGCGACATCTAGTGACTTCCACTGTCTACTTTGACAGCAGACATCGTCAAATCCTTATCCGGGTATGCTAAACAAACCCGAAAAGGGTCAAACTTTGTGGCAACCCTAATATTATAACGGGTTATGTGTTTGTAGAGTCGCGTTACATTTCTGGAAGAGCAATCGCGAGTGTGGGAGAGGTGTCAGGTACTCCAGCTGTGGTCTTAAGGTTACCTGTTATTGCTCAATAGCGTTACCAATTAACCTTCGCAGTACTGTGTCTCGTGAGAATAAACTTTGTGTCTTTTATATTGCGATACAACTGTATAAGTAAGGTTTTTTTAGAATTGAATAGGACTACCTAAGCATAGAGATTATTTAGCATGGCTACATAGTAGTTTAATATTGAAATTATTAATATACGATCCTAAATACGCCAAAAATTAATTAGAAAAAGTTACGCTAATGTTATATCATTAGTATTAGCTATTAGACAACTTATTTAATTGATACTGTCGCTTTAAACTCAGAGC